CAAACGGCACTTGTCCCCTGCTCATCACCGAAGTGGCACACCCTCAGCATCGCGGCAAGGTCACGACTCTCTACAACACGCTCTGGTACTTGGGTAGTATCATTGCGGCCTGGTCTTGTATGTACCCAGTTCCCTGGAACCCGAATCATGGCATCTTACTAATGATTGGTGTGAAATAGGCTTCGGAACGCTCACAAAACAAGCCGGCGATCTACAGTGGCGACTACCTACCGGATTGCAGTGCATGATGCCGGGCATCCAATTGATGGCCATCTGGTTCCTCCCCGAGAGCCCAAGATGGTTGATCAGCAAGGGCAAGGAGGCCGAGGCGAAGAAGGTTCTCATCAAGTACCATGGCAACAATAATGAAAACGACGAATTCGCGCATTGGGAGTTTGCCGAGATCACTAGCACTCTTCGGCTTGAGAAGGAGGCTTCGGCACAAAGCGGCTGGATGGAACTCGTGCGAACTCCAGGAAATCGCAAGCGTTGCGGGCTCATTATTGCGACTGCCATCTTTTCCCAGTGCAGTGGTAACGGTTTGGTGTCATACTATGTAAGTTTCTTGGTATTCCAAAGCAGCCCGCAGGTGCTCTCAGAGTTGTGAACTCTGAGAATACAGGTTGAAGAACATTGCGTCTAATCAAAATTGTGCAGCTTGCCGTTATTCTGGGAACTATTGGCATCAAAGAGTGAGTTTTACGTCCTCTGCAGTGGTTGCGGTCAATGAAGTATCTAACGGAGGTTCTCAGCTCCATCACACAATCCTACATCAACGGTGGCCTGACTATCTGGTGCTGGCTTGTCTCGCTCACGGCCGCCTTTTTCGTCGATCGAATCGGACGCCGAGTACTCTTCCTCTTCGCCGGCGTCGGCATGCTCATCTCATTCTCCATCTGGACGGCTTGTAGCGCAGTGTACGCCCAGACCCAGTCTTCATCGGCTGGCATCGCCGTTGTGGCTATGATCTTCGTCTTCTACGGCGTCGCGGGAGCCGCTTGGCCCGGCCTGACCGTCTCTTACACCGTCGAGATCCTGCCGTACAATATTCGCGCCAAAGGCCTCACCTTGTGTTTCTGCTTCACTGCACTGAGTGGTGTCTTTAACCAATGGGTCAACCCCTTGGGGCTTGAGCAGCTGGAGTGGCATTTTTACTTCGTTTACATCGCCATGTAAGTGCCCTTGCTGGATGATGTTGTCCTGAATAGAAACTGACGAAGCGGTATCCACAGTCTGGTAATTGAGTGCCTGGTCATATACTTCTTCTTCGTGGAGACAAGGGGTCCTACATTGGAAGAAATTTCCATGCTCTTCGACGGCAAAGATTCTGCGGCTGGAGTCGCGAGGGTTCACGCTCAGGCAAAGATTGAGGAGGTTGAGAAGAGAGAGAGCGCATAAGCATAGCACATATTGATATAGCAAGGAAGAACAAGCAGCATCAGTACAAGCCAACACTAAGATTGGGGCACGATCTGCTGCTATGACTTATAGGAGTTTCGTAACCTGGTGACGCCCCTAGCTCACCGGGAATTCATGTGAACGGCACATCCCACAGGTCTCTTATCCAATTTGAGCTTTCCACATTGTTCCAATTGGTCCCATTCTCTGCAAGGTTCAAGTTGATGTGGAGGCATGTGATAGCGATCCTACTCTGACCACTCACGCGCTACTGCTTGGACCTACTCAGTAATGGAAGCCTCGAGGAAGTACGCGTGGGGGTGTTGTAGTTTTCTAAGGCTAGGTAGTCTGCAGCGTCTTAGTTGTTGATCGATGACTAGACCGACAAAATGCCACCTTAGATCTTGAAGCTGTACCTGACGATCTTGGCGATGGCTGAGATACGCTCCACTTTTGAGCAGGTATATCACGTCAGGTTGGCTTCGAGTATCTTGACGTGCGAAAGCCATGATAGACCACTGCCCAGTGACGCTGAAACCAATGGTTTGGCTGGATGCGGATACATAGAATTTGTTCATCCATGAACATGTGATAGCCATGACATTGCCATCCACTCTCAGAAATCTCGGCCTCCGTGCCCTGGCATACGTTGCGTGAGGAAACTAAGAGTATTGAAGACCGCAGGATTTTTACCAACCGAGGACCTGAATGGTCGAAGTCTCATACGTAACCCTTTGTACTATATTACTTACCTGCTTACCTATAGGCAGGTAAATTGCGGGCAGGTGCCCTGCTCATTTCCCACATATCGTCCTTTGTTGCAGCCACGTGCAGATTATGCTCACATATGCTCTCGGTTTCTTCGTTACCGGTGATATATAACGCACTATTGGAGGGAATTGTTTTGCCTGGTCAATCTTGGCACCGATGTAGTGGTCAGGCTCCCCAGTAAGTATCCTTGGTGACCTGATGTAAGACTTCGCGATGCTGAAAGGTTGGGGCAAAGACAAGCCAGTGCAGATGAGACTTGGCTCGCAGCCTGCCAAGTACTCTTCTACTGCCTCTAGTGGTGGCAATGAGGGACGCGAGTACCTGTGCCACTTAGAACACATGGCGTACATGGCTTGGCAAGCAACCATCACGACGCCACATTCTCCAACTCTCGTCTCTAACTTTTATCAGTTTTTGACTTATTCCTAGATGATAATCCTCTTCCATCAGTCTCGCCAGGTTTATTGACTGAGAATACGTTATCCCAATAATCCTATGTTGGGGTTGTCATGCGAATATTCTTCTTTCGTAAAGAAAATGAAGAACGTTGCTTTCAGACGAGGCCCCTGAAGATACGATAGATAACTCTTGTGACTGGCACTAAGGCCCTGCTTATTGACCAATAATCTCTGATGCAAGTTAGCAATGTATTGCTGGTCACAGCTGGATTCTCCATCTCTGCCCCCGCCCCAACTACGTCAATCTTTCTTTCCCCGCAAGATCATCAGCCTCGCCTGAAGGCATCCAGACTTCGACCCATGAAGCCAAGCTTTTCTTTTCCCGGGGAAAATCCCACCTCTCTCGATTCCCCAATAATAATGAGCGGGGTGCGGGTCCGGGGTCGCGCCGGCCAGCTGGGACATCAGCCTGGCGTTCACCAGACCGCTCAAGCGTGGGCATCTCAACAAACGCCAAGCTTTGCCAAGGGGCTTGTAAGCTCATCCCCGAGCATTGATTCATGGGAATTCTGACCTTCAATCCTCCGTTGCATCCTTTCCTACATGTTCCCTTTCCCATGAGGTTTTTGACGATCTAGTAGGGTAGCACCAATGACGGGGTTGGATGTGAGCTCTTGGAGCTATGTCATCCATCAACCACGCAACTCGGAGAGCTCTGAGAGGTTTGGACTGAAAGGTGAAAGATGTAGAAAAGTTAGGTATAAAAGAAGCGCGACGACCTGCAAGAGGCTCGGGTCAAATCGAATGGTGAAGATTGTTCTCTCAGGTTCTTGATTGATCGCAGAAAGTCCGAGGCTTTTGACGCTCTCAACGCGACCTGATATTTTCACCGAGATCGTTGCCGCAGTCACCATGAAGATCATAAGCGCATCAGCTTTCTCTCTTCTGCTTGCTCTGGCCCAATCCGCTGCCATTGAGCGTCGCCAGCAAGGCGATGGCCCAGGCGGATCCGCAGATGCGACGCAAGGCGACCTTGGTGAACGGCCACCGCCGCGGTTCCCGTTTCCTGTCACCAAGTTCCCGGTTCCGAACGAGACTGTTGTCCTTAAGGAAGCCATGTACATCCTTCCTGGGCAGGTCTTCGACGGAGGCATGAAGCGTTACGAGCGTGTTGAAGGCAGCTGCAATGAACAAGCTGGTATGTTTGACCCCGGTGTGATTCTTCTATGATCCAAGAACCTATACTAACTCTGTCCATCATTGCAGAGGGAACGGATGCCGACGCGGTCTTCAATCTTCTCCCTGGCTCAACAATCCGCAACGTCATTATTGGCAAACACCAGGCTGAGGGAATCCATGCATTGGGCGACGCATGGGTTGAGAATGGTAGGACAGTGTCCTGTTTTAGAAGTGCCAAGCTGATTGTGGGACAGTGTGGTGGGAAGATGTTTGTGAAGACGCCCTCACCTCGAAGGGCTTGAACACTCAATTGAGAGTGATTGGTGGCGGCGCTCGCAATGCCACTGACAAGGTCGGTCTTTCTATCTGCGCCATGACTAGTAAGAAAATTACTGACCTTTCTGGAAGATCTTCCAAGACAACTCTCTTGGCGGGAAGTACAACATCACTGGCTTCTATGCTGATGGATTCGGAGTTCGTCAAACCTCTCTCCATGCTCACAATGTTTAGAAATCCTACTAATGTTATACCTCAGACTTTCTACCAATCTTGCGGTAATTGCCTAAACCAGTCAAAGCGGAATGCAACCATTCAGAACGTCATCGCAGTCAATGGCAACAGGATGGGCATCGTGAGTACCCAATCATGATGCCTGGGTCTTGGACATGCGGCTAATATCCTGTCATCAACAGATTAACCCTAACTACGGCGACGAGATTCGCATCAAGAACACTCAGCTGAAAGACTTGAAGGTGATGGTCGACAAAGAGATCGCAAACAACATGCAAACCGTGCCTATCACGGTTGGCACCGGCCCAGATCAGAAGTACGTCCTGTACAACGAGACGAGAGACGCTATCACCGAGTGGGAAGGAATTGTGGAGAACGCATACGAGCCCGAGGAGCCATATGAGTGGCTTGAGGCTTACTGGCCGGATGGATTCAACTGATTGCCTCCGATGCGACATGGCTTAAGGCCGACTGCGATGTGGTGCTGAAGGCATGACACTGTTGACCAATATCCTTACTAATTCCCCCAAACAAATCGATAAACAACATTAAGAAGATGAGCTTTTCAGATCTATCATTTGATTACGTTGGGTGTGGCTGTCGGAGTTACTCAATCCTCTCTGGAGACCGAATCTCGTTGCCGGGACCCGGAAGCCCGACTGCCCCGGCCCCGAGTGACCCACTGAATCCGATACCCACCTCGCCGGCACGGCCCTCGGGCTATTGCGACATCGATGGAGTTGGATGTCATACGAAGCCAACAGAGAACAGGAGAAAGATGGGAAAGGTCTCAGTTGGCTCTTATCATTGCGCCTTGTCATGCAATCATTCTCAATAGAACCTAATCTGTCGGGGAGATGGTCTGTCAGCCACCTTTCATGCGTGCCGACTTCCGGTGTAATCCGGAAACCATGCATGTTCTCCTCTGCAACCACGTTGTTAGTCTTTGTGACCCCCCAAATGTCAAAAATCGATTGTTCCTTGCGGACGCCGAGATCAGTCCGGATGGGTATTGAGTTGGCGCGTCACATCCAAGCCCTGCTAGCCTCCCTTGCTCCCGGGACAACACGCTACTGTATCGCAATGTCTTACTCGGCCGCGAGCCTTCAAAGCAGCCCGCGTCAATGGTCGCATCGGTGCATGTCCCCGCGTCAGTCTCATGCAGGTCGCACCCGTTGGCCTCGCTTACCGTCAACGGCGAAGGAGACTGAGCAACGACGCATCTTGATTCTTGAAGCTGTGCTGGCCGCATGGAGCGAGACTGCAGCTGAGAATTTGGAAGGCAAACGAATTTGCAATAAATCCCTGCTGAGTTGTAATTGTCGGAGGAGGCGCAGTATTCAACGGGTAGCTGCGTGCAGGAGCTGAGCGTGGCACCATGCAAAACCAACAGAGTTGTTCGTTCGAAACCGTCAAACGGTTCGTCCCAGAGGACTTCGTTCCCCACTATTGAAAACGGCGTTTGGCATCATTGGCTACATTCCAGAGAAACCTCTGTTGGTCGGATAAAGGCCAAAAGTCTAGAGCTAAAACGCATTAAAGCTGGCAGGGCTCGTATTGACAGCAGCCGTGACAAGTCTCGGCTTCGGACAGACTCAGCTCCAAGGGGGGGTAGAAAGTTGATCATTTTCTTTTTTCGGTTGATGATGCACAAAGTGTTCGTCCACGGGACCGGTTGCATCTCTTTGCACCAACAGGCCTTGGCAATCTGCCCTGGCAAACAGTCCAACCAGCCAACCTAAGACATGGCCCACGCCGTCATAACTAGGACCGCAAGGGATATAGCTACCAACGCTTTCCCACCCTTTCCCTCCCGCGTTGTTCGTCACCGTCCCAGCCATTCTTTTTCTCCGTGGCAAGTGAGAGCCGAATTGTTGCCCCTCACGAACTTCTCTCCTCACGACAAGAGCACATCCGCGAAAGTCTACCGGTGGACTGCGACAACAACGAAGGAAATCTTGTTGACGGGGGAGGAATGTGGGACAGGAAAACATCATGAGCTCGTCAAATCCCTACATCAGCAATGGTACATGCTACCACGGACCAGGAGACGAGGTGGGAGAATGGTTTCCGTGTGGAAATGCAGACCTTGGGTACAAGACTTGTTGCCAGGGCGGCGACATGTGCTTGTCAAGCCATGCTTGCTACAATGGTCGGTTCGGAATCACATATCTCGCGGGCTGTAGCGACCCAGACTATCGAGACGCGAGTTGTCCGGATAAAGGAGCCATGAGTGGTAAGTCGCAGTCGCCATGATGAGAGAGATTTTCCATGGGCATAAGACTAACTACTTGATATCAAGATCAACCATGGGCAGGTCTAGTCTACTGCAACGGCACTTCAGAACAATGGGTGGCTTGCGAACAATCGGCGAAGCCCACGACTTTGACATCAGCAGACGCGTGCTGGTGCCCACAAACATCCCGAACCGTCGCCTTCACCGATTCCTCGATCCTCCAAAACGTTGTACAGCTTCCGACCTCACTTGGAGGAAGCGTCATCTGGCAGCCTGGCTATGTCCCGATTCTTACACAGCCCAATACAACCCCGACTCCAACTTCACCTGCCCCGACGACCGCTCAAGCTCAGCCTCCCACAACTACAGCATCAAGCACAACATCACAGCCGACTGCGACACAAACCTCTTCATCAGACGATACGGCGGGTCTGACGACAACTACCAAAGTCGGACTCGGCGTTGGTATCGCGGGAGGGTGCCTGGTCCTCATGGCTGCTTTGATATACATATGGTATTCCAGAAGGAAATTGCGACAAACGGGGGCGGCAGAGATGGATAATGCGACTGAAAAGGGAAATGGGTATGAAGGCGGTATGGCCAAGCCATACGAAGCGAATTCGGCGCGGCCAGAGTCCGAAGCAACTGAGTTGGACGGCACCTCCCGGCCCTTCAAATTCGAACCAGGGGGCTTTGGATACAGGGGCAGTCCAAAATTGGAACCAGATAAAGGATGGGCACAATCGCCGAAGACTCCAGTGGCAGAGTTGCCTGGATAGGGCTGGGATGGAAAGTGCTTGGATATACCAGAATAGATTAAATAGGATTGTTAAGAAACAGGTATCGTTTGGGTATCCACCGCGTCATTCTAGTTCTCAGTCGATCCAGCAGGTCGCTTAGTCTCGCCCTCTGTGGCCGAGCCGGATGATTCTTGGACATTCAGCATCGTAGCGGCGGGGTTGTTGGTCTCTGAGACGTGGTTCGCCATGCCGTACCAACAAACCACGCAGATGCCCAGAACGCCTGAGATGATGCTGAAAACAAACGCGACAATTCCCTTGGCAGTGAATCTGAAATTTTGTTAGAGGTACATCTAGGCCGTGAGGAGTTTGATAATTACCCAGCCGGGAGCGGATCGGGAGGTGCGTTCTGGCCGCTGAGGTCCAGAAGGTTCTTGGTGTTGCCAGCAGCGTTACCTGCAACGGGCACATTTCCAGCTGCACAAACATCGAGATGGTTCTGCGGCAGAGTGAGGGACTTTTGGATCTCCAGCGGCGCCTCAATAAAGGTCGCCAGCAACCCCGAGGTAACATGCCACTCGATGTGGCAATGGAACAGCCAGATGCCTATATGAAAAGAGGATTAGTATAAATCCCAGTTTCAACCATTACGCAAGGACATATTACCTGGGTTGTCTGCCTTGAAGCGGAGGACGATGTTTCCATCGGGCCAGAGGACGAGAGTGTCGCGACGCATAGGGACGGCGGGGAAGTCACTCTCAGTCATGTTTGAGTCTGCAAAAGTACCGCTCTCTTCTTCACCACGGTACAGAGACTGGAAGTGATGCCCGTGAAGATGAAACGGGTGGCGACCGGAATCCAAGTTGTTGACCACGATTTGAACGATCTGGTCCTTCTTCAGAACAAAGCTGTGGGTGTAGTCGCCGTAGACTTCGGCATTTTCCGCATCTGCACCGGTTGTAAGTGCAGTATACAATGACGGAACCACTGGTGCCTTGTAACTAATGTTGTTGAAGAACGCATAGTTGGCACCATCACCCAAGTTGTCCATGATGACGTTGAGCTCAACGGTCTGGTCTGGCTCTCCGAAACGAGCCAACTCGTCGTGTGGTACCAGCGTCATGTCGTCAAAAGGATTGAGCTCATCGATCAATGCCGGCTCTGGAAGTGAGTTGCTCTCATTGTACACCAACCACCCTGTGACGTTCCAGTTCAGATCATCGGGCAAAGTGTCGAACAATGTCTGGAGGTGAAAATATCGACATTAGCATTTGAGATGGTTTCTTCACGAACGGCCTTATTTGTCTGCATCATTCTGGAAGATTCAAGCTTACCGTGTCCATGCTACCGACGATGGCGAAGTTCTCGGCCGTGGAGTTCTTGGTTGTGAGAAGGAAGCTGCAGCGCTGGGCGACGGACAGGTAGATCATCTCAGCAGTCGCCTGCTGTGTGTAGACACCGTCAACTTCGATGATAGACATGTTGTGCCCCTCAAACCAGAGATATTGTCCTGCAAAAGCACCAATGTTGATGACGCGCATCAAATAGGTCTTGCCTGGCTGGATCGAGATGGTGAGGTTCTGCGTCTCATTCATCAACGCTGCCTTTGGCACAGGCTCCGCGCCGGTGGGGTTCGTCTTGCTCATGAACGGCGGGATGAGGTTCTGCATCTGCTCATGGTACCAATCTGAAAGTGTCAAGACGATTTCCTCGTCGTAATCCCCGGCATAAGGATTGTCCGGATCATGGATGATGAGACTGCCGCGGAGTCCGTCTGGGTACTGGGACATGGTGTGCGAGTGATACCAGTATGTGCCCGGTTGGGTGATCTGGATCACCGTGAAGATTGGCATTAGTAAACACTCCGTTGCTAGAGTTCGTAGCCATGCGAACTATAACGTTATAAGGTGTGACTACTCACGGTGAAGTTGTAGAGGAATGATGAGCCCGGCGGGATGGGGCATTGCGACACCTGGGCTGGACCATCCATGTGCGTGGTCCCGTTCATGAACAGCCCGTGAAAGTGCAGCGAAGTGGACTGGTTGCCCAAGTCGTTGTGCACGTTGATCACAATGTTGTCGCCAATGTTGGCCTCAATCTGGGGAATGGGCCATTTTCCATTGATGCCAATGACGGGGCGGTCGAAAGCACCGTCAGGGTTGGCAGTGACCCAGCCGACAGTGAAGTCGTAGTTGACTGTCGCTGCAGCAGCGAGCCGCGAGGCCACGCACACGAGCGCGAGAGACAGAGTCTTGACCATGGCGATCTCAGTTCACTCTATGGTCCAGTGAAGATGGTCGATGGCGTGTCTTCCGAAGGCTGTCTCGAATGACAGAAGTAGCCGCGATGGGAATTGGCGAGGAGTGCGATGTCCTGGCTGGCTGTCGATGAGAGGAAGACGAGAACTTATCTCTGGCTCTTCGACATGAAACGAGGTGGGTGGCACCCTACTGTAAGGGAAAGAAGGGAAGATAGGAGGAGCAACTGTTGCCGCCGATATCAGTCTTCGATCCTCTCAAGTTGAACGGGTTGGAGTGTCGGGCGACATATCGGAGTCATCTGATTTTTCTTCCCTCCCGGAGGCTGGCCGACTCTAGACGAACAGGGTCTCTCAGAGGCAACGTTTCCGGGACGCCACTTTCCATGGAAGTAAAGCAAATCCATGCCGGCACAAAAATCACTCAATTATCTTATCCATCTGATCAGCAAGCACCGGGGTTAGACTAGTAGGGCAGAAATGCTTAGCACCGGGAGACCCTTCGGGGCCTCCTCCACCCGTCGCCCCCCACCATCACACGACCGGCCTGCGTTTGTGGAGACATCTTCGGTTCGAGCTTGCATTTAGATCCATCTTGTAGCGGTACGGTCGAGATACATTCAACGACATGGCTACCAGGATTGTGTTTGAGCGCCGCTGTGTTGGATGTGGAAGCAATTTTAACAGCGTAGTACGAGTGTTACGACTCACGTTGAGCGCCAATGATCATCGCAAGTGTTTGGAGGAGAAAATACCTGATAGGACTAGCCGAGAAACACCCGCTCTTCTCGATCTGTTTCCTGCCCAGCTCGGACCTGGTAATCCAATCTAATCGATCCATCAACCACCCCTGAGGTGATGGGAGGAGAATCAGCACACCTCCAAGATCCGCAGAGTTTTACAATATCGACCTCCCATGTATTGGTGGGTTCATCTGGACTCTTTGCCCTCCGATGATTGCCGTGTCGACATACCTAGACCCCTCCGATTCCGAGCTCGGCTTGGAGAAGCACCAGACTCGATCCGATAGGCATGACTACTCCCCTTCGATCAGCAAGCCAGATTGATAAAGACTTTCATCGCCTCATCGATCTCGGCTAAGAGACCTCCAACCTTCGCTCCGAACTAGACTTCA